ACAGCTACCGATAAAGCTAACTCGTCGGCCGTTGACTTGCGATTGCTAATTACTCGGTTTACTTGAATGTACGTAAACGAACAATCTGTTAATATTTAGCATGGGAATGAAGGAAGACAGGAAGTAAGCACGATGGTTATCCACGAGACAGCTCGACAAGCGCAAACATTCGAAATATCTGAATAATTCAGTGCGATCGCCGCAGCGTTTAAATGGCCGAACGGGCTAGAGGTTAATAAAAGCACTTTATCCAGCCTTGTAATCGTAATTCCAACCCCAATTAACCGGCAGTCCCTGCTGTTTATATTCCCAAGATGAATCGAGCGTGGCGCGCGAGCGCAAGGCGGGACAACGACCGTGAAGAAAACCTATTACAATCGTCGAACGATTAGCCCGATCGTTTTTTGGCTGGCCCATCGAGGCGGAATCACGAGGAGGGCATTCACTGGCTTTATGAGGCAACAATGACTGGTCATCCACGGGCATTCGGGGATACCCTTCCTTCCTCCTCCTCACCCGCCCTCCACCAACACTCGACTCTCTCTCGACTCGGTTGGCCGCTCGTACCAGCGATGATTAACACGCGCGCCTACCTTATTCGATCCCGGCGCATATGAGCTGCCAGAATCGAACGATTCGGTAACGGGAGGGCGCCGATAATTGCCGTTATTAAAGTATCTGCCCTATGCACCCCGGACCCCCTGCCTTTCTTAACTAGTCGACCGTGATTTGTGCGATTTATTATTCGCCAACTGCCCGCTCACCTTTCCTCCTCTCCTTGATTGTCAACGGGACCATCCCAGCCTCCTTTACAATTTCATTCGAAACAGACGTTTCTGTAGAAAATCCATGGCGCGATCGTCGGCTGCTTCGTCATCCTGTCGATGATTTCTCGAAGCGCCGTCAGCTCGAAATTTCCTTATCGCCCGATCTTATCGGCCGAGGAATTGGATTAACAGGATCAGCCGTTGATGCGATTAATCCGGCGGACGTGTATCGTGGCCGATCGAACGACGCGCTTCCCTCTCGATCGAAGAAAAAAAGAACGACGACGCGGTTATATGACGCGGAGAAGGAAGGCGCAGGGTGGAACGAAAAAGGAGGCGAATATTCGAGGGGGGGCAGATTAAAAAGAACGAAACGAGAGTGGCGGGAAAAGGATTCGACTGGGTGGATGAAGGGAGGTGCCAGGAGGAGAGTAGAGTGCCGATCGAGAGGCACGATCTGCCCGCTCGAAAATCGAGCATCGAGGGCGTCGATGGCTCGCCTCGCTGCTTCATGATCAACCTGCAATTAAATCGGCCAACTGAATTTCGACGGTGCACGCCGTTTGCTCGATAATTTGCGCCCGCGGACGTTTGTAGATAATTAAACGATAAACTCTTTGCCATCCCTCCGCGCGGACCGTTCTACCCTCTCTGTCTCGTTACGCAACCTACCACCTACAACTAGTAGGTCCCCTGTATTTTAGTGAAATTCATAGGGACCGAAAGGTTTAACGCGTTACTTTGATGAGTTTTGAATAAAAGAATAAGAAAAGACTTTTGTTTCCCGCGAGGAAGAAATGTCCAGGGGGGAGGTCAGTCGACGGGGCGTAGGGGGAGGCATAGGAGGTGGATCAGCATCGTTATTAATGGGCACGATTACTTGGCGAAACTCGCGCCTTTGTACGCCAGCCTACTCCTCCACCTCCTCCTTCTTCTATACGTATAACCCTTTGCCTCTCTCTGCCACCTCCGACGCCTCCACCTCTGCCAGGACCCATAATACCCACACGAGAGAGCATTCTTCTTTTACACCTGTACAAGCCCTACTCTAACTTATGCATGGGATCCTCCCACAGAAACAATGCACCCGCTGTTCTTCCTTTTTCCTACCATTTCACTCCCCTCTAGTTCGATCGGTTCCATCCACCACCGTCGCTCCTGCTGCTAATTGAAGCTGTTCTGCTTGTTCAGAATCTCTTTTACACCTTTTCAGCCCAACTAAACGATCCTTTCAATTGCATCAAAGCAAATTGTCCTCGATAACGTTTTATTAATTCTTTGATAAATAGATTGTAGTTAGGAGTGTACTGGTATCCGAAATTACTAGCTCGGGTAGGTTCGGATGAGTTCGGAAAAATTCGGGCGGACTCGGATGGGTTCGGAAGAATTTGGGCGGAGTCAGAAGAGTTCGGACGGGTTCGGAAAAATTCGGATGGGCTCGGACGCTTTGGACCTAACCTAGCCAAACATTCATAAGGGTCGGGTACCCGCCGATCCGACTCAATTTCCCGGGTACCCGTCCACCTCTAATTATAATTTTTTATTTTCCAAACATTTATAAATCATCTAAGTTATATTAATAGCATTTCTTCGAACACTTCTCGAATCAGTAGCAAGATTGCAGCAACATTTTCCGGCGGATCGCGATCGAAGAAATTCTAGTTAGAGGCAACAACGAATTAACTGTGCTTTAAGTGGCCGCGCGCTGGGGCGGTGGGTTTCGTGGAAACGTAGCGCGGAAATCTGGCCGAGTTAACTCGTTTCCCAGCGGACGAACGCTTCGTCTTGGAAGTGCGTGACACGTTAAACAACGTTGCGTGCCGGCAACAATAATCAGGACACCAAGATCGCCAACAGCTAAAGCCTCGACTCTCAGACGTGTCCATTCCGCTTCAATTTCAAGCCCCCGATTCCATTTCGCTTACCAACTGAATTTTCCACTCGGCATTGAATTAATCAAAGAACCTTCGCGTCCGTTGCATCCGAGAAAGATGATATCACGCTCGATGAGGCCGTCGTTCCCGATAGATTGACCAGTGGAAGCTGTCGGTCCTGTAAATCCGTTCGATTGATTTCTCCTTCCTTATTTGCCCTGGACAACCTCGAAATCCCTCAGTTTCACACTCGACGTGAGATTGACCCCTCGTGCTTGACCCACACTGCAGGATACGGGAACAGGGACAAGGATTACCCGGTCGTTCGTTCGTCGGACAGGCTGTTCCTCGATTCAGCCGAATTTTCTTACCGTATACAGAGGTTTACAGCGATCGTTCTAGCTGCGGGGATTTCGTGAATGCGTCACTTTAGCCAACTGACGCGGAAACTAGCGCCTGTTCGATTTTCTTCCAGTAATAAAATCTAAGAGAGATTACCTCTGGTCAATCTTTCAACCTGTCCGGCTCGAACTTTTACACAGTCAGCAGCTCTCGATCCCCTCGAATCTTTTTTAGCATTTTCACTCACCCCTTCTCTCCGGGCGCAAACGAGTCATTACACCCCCTGCAATTTTTATGCAAAATGTAAAGAACAATTTTAGCTGCAAAAGTGTTTAAAAATGAATTAAGAGAGTTTTATTAACCTGGGGTGTGTTTGCACCCCTGCACACGGGGGAAGGTTAAACGACGGCGTTTATTCGGTGGATTGGGTTCTTTTGAAATGACCACGATTAAAGGATGCTTTTTTTCTGGAGGCAGCTGCGGCGAACCGCGAGGGATTAAAGCGAAAATCTCGTTGACTCGGTGGAGAAGCGAAGCAAGATGATCTTTGCGGAGAAAAGGGAGGCGCTCGTGAGAAAGAGAGAGGTGGCCCCGTCCCGTGGAGGCAGAAACGGGATTACGCGAAATCCCGGTCACTTTTCTAGAAAACGTACATCTTGCCCGGGATACGATTATCCGAGCCAGCCTCTTCCTTTCGATTTCGATTTCGATTTCTCTGCCCTCTCCTTTACCCTCGTCTATTCGCCACTCTGTTGAGCCCGGATCGTTCAAACAGCCATTTGCTAGCCAGCTGCCGGCGACTCGGTTTAACCTCGCCTCCACTGCTCTCGAAAGCTATCCGGATTTAATACGCCGTGAAACGAGGAGCCTTCTTCGGGCAGAATTTTTCGATGCAACCCCTTGTAAAACGCCTGTTCGTGTCCTAGCACTCTGAGTAATTCCAATGACTGTAGAATTATTTAATGTTCCTTTAAAGGTACTTAAATTTCTTTACACAAGGGTATAATTTTACTGTATGAAAGAAAAACACTTTGGCTACATAAGTAGGATAACAGTTATTGACCCTTTTCCTAAGAAAGGGGATGATATAATATAATAAACTATAACTTTGTTAGGGCTAAGAAAGGTAATTATATTTTATAGGGACATTATATTATAGTTGAATGTATAATTTTTAAACAAAAGAGTTTCATGTATTGGAAGAATAATTTTTAAAGGAACTGTGTAAAATTTAGAAAATGAAAATAATATGAATAACATTAGAATTGTGGCTCTCTCCATGGTACGTCGTCCGAGGGTTGATGAACATATTATATTATATTTCTAACTTTCTTTACAAAAAGAGTCAAGTATATTACTTTGGGGTGTGTTTATACCCCAATTGGAATCGAATTTCAAAATTCCAATTATACGATAATAATAATTAAAATTTAAATTCTCATACATTTTTAGGAGAACATAAAATTCCCAAAAAACCTAATATTATTAAATTAGCATGTCTACTCCAAAATTGATTCAAATTCACTCTACTAAAAGGTATTATATAAAAAGAATCTTGAAAAACGATTCAATTCGTTCTAAATGTTACAGCATTGAAATAAACGTATCTACAATTTTAAACGAATCACGAATGTTAGCGAAGTCCATGGAGGATAGTGAAGTAATGGTGGTTCGTTCGCGTCGCGATATCTCGTTCGGAAGCTCCTTATTTCCCGGCGTCTGGTCCGGATATCGATAGCTATCTGCTGCCAGGAGGGAATTTATTTGCTTTCGCGAAAGCCGGCGTGCCTTTGATTTACAGCTAAACACCTCGCCTCGCCGCCGATAAGACTTAATTAAGTCGCGCCTGTTAATTAATAAGAGAAGCCCGTACGAAGTGATCGTCGCGTTGCGCGGCATCCGATTGTAAATTCCTCTTCTTCCCTTTTGCTAACAAAAATAGAAGGGAAAAAAATTTGCAGGCAACAGGTCGGAAGGGATGGCACCTTCAACTGTGATCCGATCCACCAACTAGAAATGTTAATGCGTGAATTATCGTTTAATTTATTTTAAGTTAAAACCTTTTTTTACAATGATATCTTACAATGTCGCTTTATACATTCGAAATAATATCGCCACGATACACCTCCTCTGTCCTACTCGTCGATCCTACGTCGACGACCATATCTGTCCCCAACTTTCCCTTCTTCTCCTCTTAAACATCATTTATACCTATGCGGCTGTATATCCGTGTGTATGTTTGTGTGTCTGTCTCGGTTCGTGTGTTTTATACAGTCTACACGCTACTCCCTAATAATACTATTATTAGAATAACCTCCCTCTCGCGTTCTTCTCGTTCCTGAATGCGGGGGTGGTTGTTCGCGAATTCCTCGCCAGAAAGCACCCCCCTCCGGCTGGGTCGTATCCGTCGTGCCGTTCGTCTAGCTTCTCAGTCTTTTTCGGGAAAAGTCACCCCTACCGCGAGTTCCCCGGGGTTGGCTCGATCGATCGTCGATCCTCTGCCGTCGGTTCAGTTTCGAAACCGAGACGTCCAAAGAGAGGAAAGGTTTTCAAGTTTGAAGAAAAAATTTTGTCCGACGGAAAATGTGAATTTTTTAAGGCGGAGGATCGAGGATCGAGAATCGATTCAACCCCTCTGCCCTCCCCGCTCCCAATTCCCCCCCTTAAAAACACCCTAAACATCGAAAAAAGAAAGGATCACAATGTGGTCTGGACTCGTGTTAACGACCGCGGCCGAGTCACTCCGCGATTAATTAATTAATTAGAACGATTAATGAATAATCGGCGATCGGCCGATCGGCGACGACGATAATAGTAATAAGAATAATAATGATAATCGTCATTTACGGCTATTAACCTTTTCGCTCGCGATAAATCGTTTTAATTACCATCGCTCGACTATCTAGATGCAAATCTTACGATGCGCAATTAACCGCTAATTTATGCACAATCACTTTTACTCCTCTCACCCGGCGCTTAGCCAGCCGTCCTCCACGCCGTTTCTATTTATTTATAATATTTATAATATTTATATTTCCATGTGTGTGTGTGTGTATATATATATATATATTTATTTATTTCTGTTTATTTATATTCATTCATATAGATTTTGTTCATTTATATATTTATATACTATCATTACAATGATAACGGTACACAATCTCGAAGATACAAAATTTACAACGCCTTCCTCCGTAGCCGGATATCTCGTTTCGTTTTCACTTTATCCTCCTCCGTTCTGCATTTCTGGCTTGCTCCTTAGCTCGCGCCTCTCCCCTGTCCCTCCACCCGTGACCTCCTGCGACAGGACGATCGACCCGATCTGGATTCACCGGAAACTCGATATAATTTACGGATTTACGCTACGTGGTTTTACATTTACTTGTCCGCTGGCTATCCTCTAACCGGTACGACACACGACGCCGCGACGTCTTCTCTCCCTCCACCCTCGAATAAATTAAACACCCCCGTCCGGTCCCGTTCAGCGCAAACGCGAGATACCCACCTCCCTTTGCGTTAAACGCGACGGGGGGAAACACAAACGAATCCGTCTCGAAGGGAGGCTGAAAAGATCGGCGCGGTTTGATAAAAGATTTTGAAAATTGCACGATGTCTCTCGATTCGCATTTAAGACTAACGCGGCTGCTCTCCGAAGATCGATTCCGATTCGCGAGGGTTTCATACCCTTTTCTTTCTTTGTTTTCGAATAACCGTTCGACCGATTATGTTCCTAATTTATTCGCTGATAAAGCACCCTGTGAGAAAGAATCGTCCTCGAAGGCTCCGCGTCGAAACAGGGACGGGGGGCGCGCACCGGCGTGCCCCACCCTCCCATCATTCACACGTACACGCACATAATATAAACTCTTGCATTTAACCGTATAAGTGTATCTATATGTACAGGCGCGTATAATAAGACTCGATACAAGTTAGCTGACTTCGTTTGTACTTGGGGCCTGGGCTCGATGGCCCTACGATGAAACTTTACATATTTACAGCGACGCGAGACCGCAACAACAGGAGAACAGAAACAGAGAATAGAAATTAGAAGGACAGACCTGTATGTGTGTATGTGTAAGAAAGAAAGAGAGGAAAAAGGAAAAAAAAAAAAAAGAAATGGTGTGTTCTCAGGGTATACTTCCCTGTTCTCGAAAACCGTCTCCCTTTGTCGCTAGGAGAGAAAGAGAGGAGTTCGACTTCTTTTAAGTTTACGATAGAACAAGAGTGGTGGGCTGCGTCCTGAGCTGCTGATCACTCGCGATTCATGTGTACTCCGATCGCCAACCGGTCTGAAATCACAGAAGAAAAAAAATCCATTGTCTCCCTCTGTGGACAGTATCGACCCCTTCGCAAGAACGTCCGAGTCGTGCACTATTTCCTCGTCAAAAGTTTGCGAGATAGTTGGAGGGATTTTGCAGATTGGGCACTTACCATCGCATTCGTCGTGGCGGCCAACTGGAGACCCTGAAGACTCGTCATGTGATGGGAATGGGAATGCGAATGCGAGTGGGGGTGGATCGGGGGCGGCGCCGGTGGTGCGAAGCCTTGATGAAGACCTCCGGCCACGCCGACGCCCGTGTGGTACATGTAGTGCTGCATCGCCGGGTGCATCGTGTGGTGATGCTGCGACGTGCCTGTAAAAACAATTGGATCACTCCTTTTGAGTACCTCCTAAAGAAACCTCTACTTAACCCTTTTTCAAAGGCACCATATAAAATTTAGAAAATGAAAGTGATATGGAATACGAAAAAATTAAAATTGGGACCCTCTCCATGGTCCTCCGTCCTAAGATTAATCTACCCTAGGTGTCTATAGGCGCTGGGGGCAGCTGGAAAGAATTAAAATACCCAAAGGGGCTGTGGAGCAAGATCAATAGGACCTGCAGTCCTTCCAAGTGAATTCTTTCCAGCTCTCAATGGAACGTTCAAAGATTTTTGAATCTATATGTCTGAAAGAGGTAGAGAAAGTTGGAGATTGAACTTACTCATTGGTGAACCGAAGCCCGAGTGGAATGGCTTGTTATCGAGATCGAGATGACCACTGGCCTTGATCATATCGCCCATCACGCCGCCGAGGCCTAGGCAGCCGCCGGCCTTCTTCTTCTTGCTCTTCGACGAGAGCTTCCTGTTTCTCGTCTGAATGCCCTCCTTCTTCATCGTGAGCGGCCGGTTCACCTGCAAGAGTCGTAGCCAACAATTCGTTGAGTTGAACGGTATATACCTAACGCGGCTTCCGATCAGTCGGCATAAACGATTAAAACGTTTCACGGGCAGACGTTCGAACAAGCGCGTCGAGTAATCAGGCTCTGTTTAATAACATCGAGCTGCGTTAACGAGTAGGGGAGATTCGAGCGTTAGACGATCGCTGTTCAACGGGTAATTAAGCGGTTTACACAGACTCACGCGGCTGGCCAATTTGCATGCAAATGAATAACAAGGAAAAGTTGGAGATTCACGGTTTTTCTCCCATGTCGAAAATGCTCGTCCGCTCCGCCAGACGGAACGGCAATTAATCCCCCGGATTCCTGGTAGTCTACGAGACTCTCCGCACTTAACGAATCGACAGGGCAATTTTCGTGCCGCTGCGTCACCGTTGCGAACGCTCAATCTAATATTCGTAGCCGCCTAGTGGGGGGAGAAGAGCGTTTGGTACCCTGGAGACCTTAGGTTGGGCTGGCGGCCGCCAGGTTTCCTTCCCCTCCTAAAAACCCTACACCCCAGTTTAACCTAGCTTCTTCCCATACTTAACTAAATAAAAAATTGAAAATTGGAAAATTGAACTTGAAACGGATTGCAATAAAAATAAAAATACGTCGTGTTGCCCCTACAAGGGAAGACAGAAAGAACGGAATTCGGCGAGGAGGCGAGTCTCGCGCACAAAGGGTCCGACGACATAACAGGGGTCGGGCATAATTCGACAAATTCGAGCAATTGCGTAATTCCGAAAAGTGTCGTTGACCGTCTGGACGCGTTGGCTTGGGTGGCGGTTGAGAGGAAGAGGAGAGCGCGAGTCCCCCGGGGTCTGGGGAGGAGGACGAGGGAGGATGATGCCTCGGCCGCCACCTCCAGAGGCTCGTTCGCGCATCCCGCAATACCAGGAACCTTTTCCTTAAGTTGGCAGTTACGTCACGTCGCGGCAACTACAAAGCGTACGCCTCCTCCGCCCCCTCCTTGCATTTCCTCCTCCTTCTCCTCGCTGATGCACACCACACTTGCATACCTACTTATTTCGTACTTAACCCATCGTACGCGCGCTCCTTTCATTCGGCCCGATGCTAATTTAAATTCTTCTACTAATCTGTATGTTTATGAAATTGTTCAATTAATTGGCCGGATCGATTGATCGGACGATTGGAAAGGATAAACCACGATCGCGCAAGGCGATAGATCAACCGCGGCACATAGTTTGAAGAGTGATTTGACATTCAGGTTGGATCGCGGAGATGCACCGTGAATCACGGACAATGAGGCGGCCCCATGAATAAACAAAGGATTATTAAACGCGCATCAACTACGTACACGCACGATTGGAACTTCCTTCTGCTTTCCTTTCATCGTGGCACCTACTACCAGAACCTAAGCCAAAGACCGAGTCAATTTGTAGTTTAATGTTACTCGTGTTGTGCCTTCTAATTTCAACGCCACTCGAAGGTTAAAAAATGAAATTTTGCAGTAGAGAACGGTGGTCCACGCGTGGTTCCTTTGGCAAGGATTAAAATAGGAAGAAGCGCGAAAAGGCACAGTACGTATTTTACAAACGAGTGGACGGATGAAGCTTAATGAGCTCGCGAAAGCTCGATTTGAATACAATACGAACGCGGCTTTAATAGGAACCACAGAGGGACCTGTTGGTGTCCGAAACTGTGCGAGGTGCAAAAACAAAAGAGAATCGAACGAACAGAGGAAGAAAGGGACTCTAACCGAAGAATGAGAGAGAGGTAGAAGAAGGGTTGCCCGGGAGATTCGAATGCAGATTGATGTGGTCACACACGATGCAACCGCACACCGATTGCATACGAAATCGAAGGACCGCAGAACACGAACCAGCCAGGTGGGGTCAATGAATGAAAGATTGGAGACAAACCACGCTCGTTCGAGTTTCCTTGCTCGATCCGCAGGCGGATCGTAATCGATACGGACGATTCCCTGAATTCGACCTGTTTGATCGGTTTACACGTAGAGATTCGTTTTTTTTGTTTATCTAATTCTAAGTAACGCTATTAAATGATTACAGTTGGTAGTATAAGAAGTTTCGGGAATCCGACCCGACTAGATGATTACCCGGGTTGAGTTGAGTCTACCCGACGCGATCCAATGCAATCTGACGCGACCCGACCCAATAGTAATTCGATCCGACGGTAATTTGATCTGACACAACCCGACTCAATGGTAACTCGATCCAATACGACCCGATCCGACTGTAATTCGATCCGACGCGACCCGACCCGATGGTAATTTGATTCGACACGATCCGATTCGTTAGTAATTCAATCCGACGGTAATTTGATCTGACGCGACCCGACTCAATGGTAACTCGATCCGATACGATCCGACTCGATCATTACCCGACCCTACCCGGATCAAGGCCGGGTACCCGAACTTTCGGGTACTCGCATACCCCTAGAAAAATATGAAAAATTTTACTTTTCCCCACTCTTCGATTAGAACAAAATTTTGTTAATCTCAATATCCACACCGATGTTCTAGATATAAACGTATGTACGACGAGTTAATCTACGAGTAGATTTATAAATTCGCGTGTGTGGGAGTGGAAAGGATGGAGAAGGGCGAGAGGAGGTACGCGCAGAGGCAGGGGAATGTCTCGTCCAACGGTTCATCAGGGGCATATCAATTGGCGCGAGCGGCCCTTTGCGTTTCTTCTTCTTCGTAACACGATTTTACAACTTCCTCGCAACACACCCGATGCCGACTGTTCGACGAACCAAGTGAGCGCGCTTTCGCAATCCGTGACGCATCGCGGGATCGAACCGTGATTTATCTGCGAGTTTAACTGTACGAACGTGACCGGCGTACCGAATAAAAAGGAAGTGTGAGAACCTTCGCGAGGATTATTCAAATTTCCAGAGGACGTATTCCTCGTATTTACACCTTTAATCGTCCCGTATACAAAAGAAGTCTCTTGAAACTTTCTCGATGGAACCACATCGAAACTGTAGAATCCATTTGTGGAAGCCCGAGTAATTTCCTTTACCAGTCGTCCTCGCAGAAGCAGATGCATCTGCCGGTAAGCCGTGTGCCTAAAATTATATTTCCCTTATCGCACGATCGTTGCCCGCGTGCGCCTTTCCAAGCGGCGACCACCGATCGAGATCCATATCGGAAAACACAGAACGGGGCTCTGTTTAGAAATTCCCCGAGTTCGTTCGCTCTCATCTCCCGCCATTATACTTTTCCATTTTAAATTTAAATCTTCCCCGACTCGCTTTCCTAGCCGCGCGGACCTTGTTTAACGGGTCGCGTCTATTATTCGTTTTCGCGTTGAACGAACAAGCGGACACCTTCTTTCCCTCCTTTTGTCCCGGACTTTTACACGAAACGTCCGCGCGATCATCGTCCGGCGATGCGGGGAACCGTGTAACGCTAGAAGGTCGACGTTTCAGGTGCCTCCGGCTGGAATCTAACAATGTACCGAGATGCACGAAACGTAAAGTCCTTCTACGAATCGTTCGCACGGACAACGTCTCCGATTACGACGGGATCAATCGAACATCGATAAAGTGGATAAAACGAAATTCCTCGGGGAAGGTTGAACGAAAATTGAAAAGGTAACGCGGGAGGATGGGTTCCCATCGCGACGGTTCGGTTCGAGGAATTCGTACGGTGACCCCGGGCACCCGACAGTTCGGGCGACGCGGCGATTAGCATATTTCGAGCACCCGGTAGCTCAGCTCCGAGCACGAATAATCCGTGTATTTTCGAACTAGCCTGGCCCCGTGTTCGTGCGCGAGTTCGAGCATGGACGCTATCGGTCTGCTCTATCTTAACGACGCCAGATCTGTCGTTCTGTGTCTCTCCTGTTCCTGCCTCCGCCCTCCTTTCTCTTTCCCCGGTCCGGCATCTATCTCGGACCCGAGAGACAGCCTCGTAGCCGAGCTACCCGATCTGGTGGCAGGTACAAGAGAAACTGCCGGAGACGTTGCTCTCGAAATGATTGATCTTTGCTCGGTTCCACGGTTACATACTTGGTAGCTGATCGATTTTTCTGTCCGCCCGTCGCGTTCCTTTCTTTTCCATCTGCTCGGGGATCTGCTTTAATTTACCAACGATGCTGTTTTCTCTCCGGGTATTAGACATTTTTTTCTACCGTGACGACAAAGGTCCTTGAACGGTCCAGGGGTTCGAGGTTCGCGTCGACTAATCCTAAAGCGAGTCGGTATCGTCCGATTGTTCGGTCATCGACTATTTCGAGCTGGCATGCTTTACCCGGGACGAAGAAAAGATATTCGGATGGACGCCGGTGCCCGAGACTGTAACGTGTCGGCTTAACGTCAGCGAAGACAGTCGCCTATTCCATCCTCTCCAGTCCGCTTACCCACACGCGCCCGCGCCCTCGTCCTGACACACGTCGCGGACCAACGACGGATGTTGTGCGATTATTATAATTTCGAGGAGGAAGGCGCGGAGGCAAGTTTGCGAAACGATTGCTATTAAATATACAAAGTGTAAAATGGTTTGGGTAGGCAGGGAACGATAGGATGGCGTGCACTCGCGAGCAGGGTAGCCGAATTTATTCCCCCCGGAGCGAGTAACCGCGTCCCCGTGTCGCTAGGCATTCGACGACGCCCGGCGACGGAAGGGAGCCGTACGCTTAATTAATGATTACCAGGAAACGTGTCTGGGGTCCGGCCTTTATGCCCGGCATTAACCACCATGGTGTTCTTGCGGGTATCTTGCACACGGTGTTCCTGGCCGTGCGCCATCCCCCATGGTCCTCCTCCACCTCTGCTTACCTTCTGCTACAGATCCACACAGGGATAAACGTCGGCGTGCACGAGGAAACGCGAATTAAGTCCGGCAACTTGTCGTTCGTTTAATAGATCATCTGTTTCACTTCGTTCTCTATCAAATTCACGGAAAATAAAGTCGTTGCTGATGGAGATTGATCAGTTAAAAGGTGTGCGGTTATTCGAAAATTCTACCCGACCCGGTTCTACCCGACTCGACGCTACGCGACCCAACCCCCACCCATCCTTACCCAACACGACTCCACTTTATCCTACTCGACCCTATCCGACCCTACTCGAGCCTCGGGTACCCCCACAACTCTATACCCCACCTATTAGACTCCAATGAAACTAACCACGTCCCATCTCCCTAATTCGAATCTGGACCACTCGAAAGAGAGGCACAAATCTACGAAGAAAATCGGAAATAAAACGCAAGGAGCTGCGCGAAGCGACGGTGGCGAGCATCGCGATGAGATAAACGCAGAGATAAACTGGAAGGAGGGAAAAAAGCCGCGTAAATTCAGACGGACGATTTGCTCGGGGATCGAGCTCATTGAGGGACGCGCGTGCATCGATGCCGGAGGAGGGGGCGAGGAGGTAGAGGACAGTGGGCCTCATTGTCCCCTCGTGACAACGGGAAAAGAGAAACAGAAAGACTTCTGTGACGGGGAGCGAGCGTAACGAGTGTTCAACGGAGAAATCGCGAGCCAATTAGCGCAAGCCGCAAATGAATCGTCCGCTTCGTCCGCCTCTCTGCCCCCTTTTCACTCTTCTTATCGAGATCATAAGAGGGAGATCGCACGCTGGAAATCAAGATAGCACGGCCAGACGCACTCGCGGTTAACTTTGCAGCGAGTGACTATTTTTGTCGCGCGATCGCGGAACGGAGGATTTTTTAGCAAATTGTTCGTCACGTTAACACCCTCGCGCAAAAATCAGGCTAAATGACCCACGCCTTTCCAATAGACTCTTGGGGGGGAAAAAAATCACAGCACAAAGCAAGAATTTCCCGGGGCAGAAGAACAGACGCAACGCGTTCCTCGTTTATTAAGGTCGACGCCCACGCGCCGCTAGTCTGGCGAAGATTTCCGCCTCGACGTGCACGTCGCGGCGCTCCGTTGGAGGGCCGGCAGCCGCGCGATCTCCTCGTTCCTACGTGAAATACCGAGTTCCTGAGAAAAACTCGTCTACCGACAGGATTTCCTCTCTACGTCGCTGCTCTTCCGCCGCTTCCTGTGTCACACGCCGTTGAGCACGCTCCACCTACTCGTCGCGTACTCGTGTCCTGGGGGATACCGAGCGACAAAGCTCTTCGCACGTCCGGCGACGCGTGGAACACCCTAATTGTTGGCGCAACACATCCTCGAGTACTCTCATTGACCCCCCCGAGTGATTCCCTTCGGGAAACGCGGATAAATTTCTCGCGCAATGGTAAAATTTGTTGGAACTGGATTTCTTCGAGAGAAGGAGATGAAGAAGGACGACGGAGGAGAGATCGGTTCCACGCTGGAGCGCCGACAATGGATTTCGAGAGGCCGTCAGCGACAATGGCAATCCGATATTGCTGCGACGATCGGTGGCTTCGACGGTGGCCAAAGAAACGACCTTTTGCCTCTACTATTTACCGACCAAGAGCTTTTATTATGTGGATCTGGTATCCGTCGTTTAATACCGTGCCCTCTCCTTTGTCGGTGTCTCCCTTTTCAGAAACATTGTATCGGGTCGCCTAGCGCAAACGATCTTCCACCTTCCTTTCTCCCTTGCTTTCAATAGCGATCTACTTCCTCCTCGAAACGGAAGTATCCCGAAACGTCTCGCGTATCTCTTTCGAGTCGGGTTAGTTTGAATGAGAAATAGAGAAACTCTCGGAGAGGCTTGTCCGCGAGGAACGAAACGAAGGCTGGCCGATCGATCGATCGACGGTTACGTGGACGATTATTAATGATCGATTACTTACGTTGTGTAGCTTGTAGTAGAGGCCGCACGCGTTGCAAACTGGCTCGCCGGCCTGATTCCTCCGCCAGAGCGTGGTGGTCGCGGTTTTACAGTTGGCGCAGCTGGTGCCCGCCCGTCTTGCCGCACTCTGCAGCGACAGTTTTGGAAAAGAAAAGAAACAGATATCACACCCGTAATCGGAACGATCGTACCAATTACGATAATTTACAAGATTAATGGAAAATATAACGGGTGTCCCAATTTTATTTAAGCTACTGGACACTGGTGGGTTTCCGAGAAGGATCGAGCACGAGAAAAAGAATCTGGGTCGAGTGTTCGAACACGGGATCGCGGTCCAGGAATTCCTTACGGTCGACCAGCTTCCAGAATCAAGAAGCCACAAACCGAGACGGGATCGCGTGAAATCGGCCGCCCTTAATCCCCGTTCCCGAGGGATCCCGCTGGAAACGTGAGCCCGTGTTCTTACCTGTGCACCAAGCGCCCCCCCATTCTACCTCAGAAAACGGTCTACACCTGTTTCGTGTAGCCGCGTTCTCGGTTAGCAAACACGCTCGACGAGAGCCCCCTCTTCACCCTAGTATTAATCTTGAGTCCTTAAAAATTTTCTTTGCCAGTCGACGGCGAGACGATTTAAAGATTCCGAACGTTACATTTAGCTCGCTTTTTATTCGTGGACCACTCGAACCCCCGGTCGGAAGGGGGTTGGAAAGAGAGCATACCTGGCTGACGCGTATTGTCGGCGAGTGTACAAGGGGGCTAATGGAAAAACGATTGAAAGCTGTTTGAGCGAAAACGAAATATCGACAGGACCGAAATTGCACCCCCTTTGTGCCTTCCGTCGGTGGCCGACGTCACAATACGTCTCGAGCGCGTGTCCACGAATATAAAGTGTCCTTGCAACTGTTTTTCTCTTTTCTTCCCTGCGTATTCCCTGGGTATCTTCCTGTTTCTCGAGAGTGCTCTCGAACCGGGCGCCCCCCCTTTTGTCGTGCTCACAATGACACGATTCCCGGTGCAGTTACGAAATTTTTGCCTGGCTGCTTCCGATTCAGAAAAAAAAAGGAACTGATGGGACAAAGGGAATGCAGAATTTTTCACTGTTTACATGGCCGCCGGAGGTGAGGGAGACGAGAGGGCGCGGGAAGAAAGAGGAGAAAAGGAAGAGAAAGACGAGGGTGGTTGGACGCGGTATGTAATCATGCCTTATCTCACGGATCTTATCGAGGACTGGCGCGTAGCAAAAGGGGTCTTCAGGGTTCTCGGGTGCCCCCGAGGAACCCCTTCGCGTGGAATCAATACACGGAGAGCCACCTCATCAATATAGAGGCTGCTATCTGCTCTAGATCTTTGACACCCTCGTCGTCCAGCCTTTCACCTTCGCGGCCCGGGGGTCGAACGGGGTGGAGCGGCCTGAAAATCGTCCGCGACCGGCCAGCTTCCTCGCCCTAATGGTTATTAAACGAGGGAGAAACGAATTTCTCACCGACGTTCCTCGTTATCGATCCGCGACAAACAGAAACCCAACGCGATTACACGTTTCGAATGTCTCTCTATTAGGGGAGGACGGATACCCGAAAATATTGTTGGTAGTGGTCATTACCCGACCCGACCCGACTCCACCTAATTATTACCCGCCCCAACTCGATCACTACTCGATCCTACGCGATCCAACCTGATTCAGTAATTCTTTGACCTAATTGAATTACTACTCGACCCAACCCGATGCCCGGGTACCCGAATTTTCTCTCACTCCTCTACTATTTTTATATTTATTTTATTATAAATTGTCCGTGTGGTTTGGCGAAGGCGACTGGACGAGGGTTCGGTCGGAGAGAGGGGAAGGGGCGAGAAGACCGACAGGAAATAAAAGCACGATTCCGAGCACGGGTGGAAGCGACTCGCATCTCCTCGTGGACAGAGAGAGAGAGAGAAAGATCAGGGAGCAAAATAAAATGAAATCCACGGAGAGGAGACGGTCGAGAGGAGAACGGAGAAAGAGAGACAAAGTGACGTGGGCTCGAGGGACGAGCAAAACGAGATAATAAGGGAACAAGACCGGCAGAAAAATCGAATTGAAATAAAAGAAGGACTGCTGAGGGGGATGGGGATAAAAGGAAGGAGAAGAGGAACGTAGATGGCCACGAACTTCAGAAATGTCATATCCGTCAGTGTCCACGGTTCTGTGCCTTCTGAAGGCAACCGGTTCCCGACCACCTAGCGGACCAAGTATTGTCCCCCCCTTCGGAAACACCGATTACACGGCCAATCGATGAATTTCTTCGGGTTTAGAAACATTGAAATATTATGTTAAATTAGCGCTGCTTTCTATGAACAACGGGTAAAGATAAACGAAGGGAGTTTGTATATACTAACACCGGTCGGCCGTTTAATCGAGAAGCAATTCGGGCTCGACCAAGCGGTATCCAACACGCGGATATTTCAACGATCTAATCGCCCAGCAATGCGTGCACGGCTGTCCCGGTTGACCACTCGAACGATCCATGGATCCCTTTCTCGGAAGATCCCTTAACACTTTCCGACTGCCACCGATCAAAAACGATCCTGCTAAATTATACTATTCGTGCTATTCAAACAGAATTTAATTTATTATTTCTTTTTTATATTTAAATTGTAATAGAGTTACAGGAGTAGAGGAAGGAGGTGCAGTGTCGCTGTCGACGATCGCGACTCCTAACTGTACTCGATAAATTTCCTCGTTCGATCTCCTCTGCCATTCCGGCCATTAATCACCGAATCGGGCTAATTAATAACGCTTAATAGCCTGACGAACGCATCTTGCGCAGCGTGTGCCCCGCTTCGGCTCGATATCGGTAGCTAACCACCGAGCCACTTCCTTTTCCTCTCGTTATCGTCCCGCTTATCGCGTTAACGGTTCGATACCGAAGGCTCAGCGGCGATAGATGAATTTTTCGTTTAATCATCGTATTGGAACATTTGGAGAACGTTAGAACGGTGATTAGAAACTTTGCTCGAGCAAAGTGGATGGAAAATTACGCGAAGGTTCTCGTTTGATTATATTTATCGGGCTGTATCGCGGGCCAGCCGCATCGGCATACGAGCAATTTGTATCCCGATGAGAACAATGTTTGTATCGGGCTTGTATCGGCGTACTCCCTTCGCTTCTAGTCACGATTTAGTCAAGGATACACGGAGATCGTTATCGGGTCTACGCTCGTAAAACGATCGTTTACTCGTGGAGTACGGAACCGGCCGGAAAAGTCCCGAGATCTCGACTCCGCTCCGTTCTCGGTAATCCCCCGATTTACAACGATTCCCTTTGAAAACAATGGGTGGGGCATCGATTCGATGCACGGTACCCTTACCCAGGACGACACGATTCTTTGCGTTCGAGCAAGGATTTTGTTTTAAGGCCAGGGGGGCCATCGATGATCCTTGCTACCAAATTTCTTTCAGTCTAATAATTTAGAAACGAAATGGTAATGGTATGTAGATTTTAATGAGTGAAAGTGAGAATTGGGAATTACTGGGGGATTCGGGTACCCGTGTGTGTGTCGAGTACCCGAAAAATTAAGGCTAGCCGAGACAGTGGGGCTACCCAGTTGAACCCGTTCAATTTTACTCGACCAGACCCTGAAATTTCGGGTACCCATCTGACCCGACTCGAAATTCCGGGTATTTGTCCGGATCCTTACAATTTCACCCGACCCTACCCGAGCCTTAATTGTCGGTTACCCGTCTACCCCCACTTACCACCTATCTATATCAAAAATCCCTAAATCTAGTGTCGCCATCTGATCATTCTCCGTCTTAATTAACTTCGAGCCAAATACGTTTACCAGATACCGATATTCCCGTTGACAATTTCCAAAATCCTGAAGAGTCCCGTGGAAACCTGTTCACCAGCAGCAATTATCGTCCATCGGGGGGCAGTCGCGCGGCGTGTACGGGCTGGCAAAGCGGATTCGGGATGAGTTCGATACAGTTGGAGCGTGCGAGGCTGTCGTACGCCTACCTCGCCACTACTCGGTCGCGCGTTGCGCTTTATATATGCAACCGCAGGCCGCATAATATAACGCACCGATGCGGTGCGGTGCGGTGCGGTGCGGTGCTGAGCGTGCGCGCTTGTGACTGTGACAAGCAGTGGTACCACATTCCTAACACTAGCGCGCACTCGACCCACTCTCTTTCTCTCTCTCTTTTACTTCGCCTCCCCTTTTGTTTCTCCTCTCGTCCTGATAGAGAAGGATACGAACGACGAAAGGGTCCGTGCAAAGAATTCCTGCGAACGGTCTGCCTTGACCGGGTCAGCGTTCTGATTAACGATCCCCCGAGGGTGGCTGACAACAGCTGCCACGAATTTCATTCGAACGACAATTTTCAATATTATTTTATTTAAAGCAAGAAATCGGTAATGGATAAATGGGTCGAGGACTACCCTAGCAGCCGCAGGACGATACCGTTGTAATTGGCTCGGTGTTAATATCGCGGCAATTTGCCTGCTCCTTCGGTTTATTCCTCGATAACGGTGATAACCCTTGGCTGCAACCGCCTAGCTCAAGGACGACGCGCAGCTTTTCCAGGAATCGTGGAAAGTAAGGTCGCGGTGGCCGTACGCTTCCATCCGGCGCTTAGCATCTCGACGCGAGTGAATGCCGCTTGTCAAAGTTTATAACGCGTAAATCCCTCGATAAATTCGTGCCCGATTTACGAAGCGTTCTCTGAACATTGTACCACCGTTAGGTGAGAGAGCGATTCAGAAGCCAATCTATATGATAAACAGCCCAGTTACGCGAATCGTTCCGAGACGAATACGCGGGTCAATGTCACAGGTCCAAAGGAAAGAAAGGGGCTGGGATTAAGCCGGAAGGATGAGTCTGAAATCGAGACGAACGGCAAATAATTTTCTATCCAGCAGCCGATGGATGGATCGATTTGCTCGACCCCTTAACTCTTGATTACTGTTCGAAACCGGTAGAACGTATCGGGAAGAAAAAAATGAATAATAATAACGGAGGCACCTAATGAACCGTACCGAGAGGGTGAAAATAGAGCAAGAACGATTTCCTCGGTTTCAGGGTGGAGGGAAATTTTCATGGGAAGCCTTCTCTCCTGGTGGATTCAATTAATTCCTTAATTACTTTCTATGAAAATAAA